GAGGGTGAGGCTGGAGGCGGCCGCCGCTTGTGCTGCTTCCTGGACGGGGAACCCCTTCCTTCCTCCTCCCCGAGGGCCGCGGCTGGAGGCGGCAGGGGAGAAACTGGCGGCCCGGCGGGCTGCCCCTCGGGCGGTCGGGTGCGGTGGAGGTTACTCCCGCTGCGCCCCCGCCTCCCCTCCCCCTCTCTGCTCCCGCACCTCTTCCTCGCTTCGCAGCGCTCGGCCGCCTCGGTGCTGCCTTCCCTGCTGCATCTAGCATCTCTAGGACGGAGGCATAAACTTCTCCCCCGAGCGCAGGCTGAATGGATAGTGGTCCTTCTCCGTGTGTAGGGGATGTGTGAGCCCCAGGGGAGGTCACGTTTTGGAGGACCGCAGGAAAGTGCTTAGAGACCACTGTTTGAGGTTATTGTGTTTGGAGGGAAAACGCATCTGCCTCCGAGTTCCTGACTGCTCCCCTCCCCCATGTATGGGCTGTGACATTGCTGTGGCCACAAAGGAGGAGGTGGAGGTAGAGATGATGGTGGAAGAACAGGTGGCCAACACCCTACACGTAGGGCCTGTGACCTGCAGTGAAAAGGAAAAAGTTAATCCCAGAAGGTCTGTTTTGGCTGGTCAAGTTAACACACGAAGAAAACCCGCAGAACAGAAGCGGGGCATTTTCCTTGCTGTCTGAGTGTAGGCAGCAATAGCTGAATAGTCCCTGAAGTTTAATTCGCCTGTTCTTGTCCTTTCTTCCATCTCTTCTTTATTAGCCTCATCCTTGCAGATTTGTTCCCCGTCTCAAGAGTTTTTATAGTACTCCTAAACAGCACGCTCAGGATTTTGTAAACTTACTTACAGGAGGAGGTAATTGTGATCGGCCAGCTAACTGGAATGTTCTTAGGCATATGCATGTTATAGCTGAAGTCCTAAGCTAGCCTTCTTGACTCTTGTTATTATTTATCAAAACAATGGGTTAAAAACAGAAAGGTATTTTCTCATTGTTACACAATGTATGTGTTATGTTTGTAATTGAAAGTTATTTAAAAAGAAGTTATAAAGGGAAAAGGTTTATTTGTAATCATAAGCTCAGAATTAACTATATAATTGGTGTCACCCTTAAGTGACTAAGATCCAAAGTGCTGACTCCCACATGTGATAGACTATAGATATTAAATATGGCTGATACCAAGACTTTTTACTCTGAGACTGTAGCCATCTACAAGTATACTTGCTTTGAAAAGGTGGTCCAAGGTAATTTGTTTTCATGAATTTTTAAAACAAAATTGTTGGGTTCTAGTCCCAGTTCCACCCCTTTCTTGCTATTGTAAATTTGGGTGAGAGACCCCCCTTTTTATGGCCTATGTTATGATCTTCATTTAATAAGACTTCTTTGGAACCCAGTTCTTACTATTGTATTTCAGTGTTAATTGATTTTAAAAATTTGATTCAAGGATTTTTTTTTTCTTTCTGGAAACTACCATTGCATAAAAAAAGATCAGAAATGTCTCTGAATTCAGACATATGTATACATACATATTAGTTTAGTATGTGTCCTCAGTATCTCCTAGACTACCAAACTTGGTCTTAAGGACCCCTCTATGCTCTTAAAAATTATTGTGGCTTTCAAAAACCTTTGATTTGTGTGGAGTCTTTCAGTATTTACCATTTTAGAAGTTAAAACTGGGAATTTAAAAAATTTGTTAATTCATTTAAAAACAGAAATACTAAACCTGTTACTTGATAACATGAATACAGTATTTTATTTTAAAAAATAACTATTTTCCAAAACAAAACCGAAAATTAGTGAGAAGAGTGGCATTGTTTTATACTTTAACAAATCTCTTTAATTATGCAACTTAATAGAAGGCATATGGATTTTCATACTGCATCTGCATTCAATCTGTTGTGATCACACATCTGGAAAACTCTACCCTATACTTGTGAAAGAATGAGAGCGAGAGGGTAAAGGACATCTTAGTATTATTATGAAAACTGTTTTGACCTCTTGGACCCAAAAAAGACTTAGGAACCTGAGAGCTTCCCAGACCAGTTTGGGAACCATTTGGGGAGTATGGGGTGAACAGGGAGCTAGAGTATATGTTTCAGTGTGACTCTCCTCATCTGTTCCATTTGTTATGGTCTGCATTTGGAATAAAGCATAGGCCAGACAGGATCAGATACATGTTTGTAGTGGCTGTCAACCCACACAGCAAGAGAGTCTAGGTGGAGCAGAGAGAGGCAGGGAGCTAGACTCATCAGTCTGTGATACAACAGTTTTCTAGCCTGTGGAGCTCTCTAGGAAGGGGCTCAGGAATACAGTTAGTATGTTATCATTTGGAAAACCAACATATTACTATTATTCCTGGTGGTGTCTTAAGCAAATAGAATGGTGCATGTATTTACTGTTTATCTTCAGTGTATGCATACACATTAATCTGGAACTACTTACTCTATAATAAATTGTGCATTTACTGCCATTCTGCACTTCTTACTTGTAAAAATATGTTACATGAATGAAAAGGAGATGAAGTTAGATGTATTCATTTTATTTGACAAAGTTTTAAACAGCTGAATACAGAATATTACATTTTATTTTCTGTCTTGTGTTTGTTAACCCTACAGGTTGTCAGTATTCATTGCACTTGTTGGGAGACAGTGTATGAAAAGCCAAGAGTAAAAAAAGTCACATGAATTACTGAGACATATTCACTTTTTAAATTGATATTCTTTTAAAACTTTTTTTCTTAAAGTAGTGCTTCTCTAAATTTTTTTTTGTGCAAATGTGATTGTGTATTATGATTGATGATCAAATTGCCTATACTGAGTAATTAATCCAAAGTTCTCAAAACTCTCTTAGTTTTTACTTTTATTTCCCCAGAGATATTTCATAGATTAAAATGTCATCAAATGTTCTTATCTGCTTCAGTGTCTCAACTTTTATTTCCCCATGACACAGTCCAGCATTATTTGACTTGTCCTCCCAAGCCCCATCTGATTTTTGCTACTTATCTGGGAAAACTACTATGATGATGCTTTTAAAGAGTTTTCATAGCTGTTGGCTCCAACAAAGACACTCAGCCTATCTACTTCTAGCTCTTTTAGACAGGAGTCAAGAAGGAACACTGCAATAATAGGCGTGGAGATAGCTGTCAACAAGTTTTGTGTGGGTGTGTCTACACAGGGTAGAGCACTGTGCTAGACACTTGTACTGTGTGAAGTCATGATATGAACCTTTGAGAGCCATTAGCTGCTACAGAGCAGCAGTCTGGCTGTTTAGCTAGAACAACCTGAATATAAAAGAACTGTCTATGTGGTCTGTATGCATTTTTCGTAAATGTTGATGGAGGAGTTTATAAGTGAAGTATTATTTATTACAGTACACATCTGTAGTCAGCCACAGACATTATTGCATTTTGTAAAGTATTTTGAAATAATTTTCAAAAGGTGAGTTTGGGTTAAAAGATACTGATAGAGTATTTGACAGATTATTAACTGCATGTGTGACACGTTCTAATTTAGTTACATTTTCATTATTTTTGTTATAAGGCCTGCTGAAAATGACTGAATATAAACTTGTGGTAGTTGGAGCTGGTGGCGTAGGCAAGAGTGCCTTGACGATACAGCTAATACAGAATCACTTTGTGGATGAATATGATCCAACAATAGAGGTAAATCTTGTTTTAATGTTATGCATATTACTTGTGCAGGACCAACCATCTTTTGGTACAAATAAAGGTTTCTCTGATCATTTTGGAAGTACTTATTACAAGGTAATTATACTGAAAGTTATCTGAAATGCACTTGGGTGTCAAGGCTTTAACTGAAGTTATATGTAACCATAAATATGGGAGCCTTACTTCCCTTGGGAGAATACCAAGGTCCATACCAGTCACTCTGTGTTAGTGCATGTGCATTTTGATTGGAGATATATTTTAGAGTTTTATGAGTAGGTAGAAATGTGAATTTGCCTCTATCTGTACCTAAAAGTCATTCTTTTAAATGTGACTTTTTAAAATAGACTTCTTAGTATTTTTTTTTGTTTTTTTGATATGTAAACATTTATTATTGTGTATTGTTTTAAATAATATCATTTTTATTGTTATTTTTGTTATTTTTCTCAAATATTTGCAGTCTATGGTTGGCCAGTCCCCAAATGCTGAAGGGTAAATCCAGAGACCACTGCAAGACTCATTGGGTTGGGTCGTGTTGAGACAGAAATGAAGACAGTCCACCCTGGTGCCCAGCACTCAGTCTGAAATGGGCCCCACTGATTGTGTGTTGCTAACTCAATCAATGGGAGGGTGGAACAACCCAGGTGTTAGGGTGTGTCTGAAGCCCCAGCGCTGGGTAGGTCTATACGGCCAGGACCTTCAAAGATCTCAGCAATTGCCTTTTCAGCCTCCAATTCATGTTATCCTTTTTATTGATCATTGTAGTCACGGATAATCATTTCAAAACAATTATATGATTTTACTTATTTCTCTTTGAACAACCATTGTCTTTCTGGGCGCAGTGGCTCATGCCTGCAATCCCAGCACTTAGTGATGTCACATGTAGAAGTTAGATTGAATTGCACTGATGAAATGTAATTGTTTAATGGTTGATTTTTTTAGAAAATATTTAATTAATAGCATTTTTCTGTTTCCTACTCAACATTAACACAAAACCTTACAGCTACCTGATTCATTTCAAAAAGATCATTCTCTGCCTAAGGTGTGATATATAAAAAAGGTACCACTATCAATCCTTGCCTTTTGCTTTACAGCCCTTTTTTAATTAACTCAAGGAAATGTTTGAGTTTTTAACAATTAAATTTGATTAATAAGCTTTTGGGACTTTTTAGTTTAATAAAAATTTACCACAATAAAGACCAACAGCAGAATGATAGGGAAAGACCTGGAAAAGACCTTGGTAGGTCAGGTGGTAGTATTTCCTACTGCCTTCTGGCAGCACTAGACACTCCAATTATCCCAAGCAGATAAGGATTTATTTAATCTGAGAGACCTGAGGAGGGGATATTTTCTGACTGTCCTTATTAACCCATTTTCAGAACATAATTATTAGCATATTATGCATAATCTGACACTTCACATTAAAGTAAACATCAGTAGAGATGGAAATAAGTGTATCACCTGGTCTTTGAAATACCTTTTGTTGTTAAATTATTTCTTAGGCTTCTTTACCCCAGTTTAAGCAATCCTAATTCCTTAGCTTTTAGTCTGGATTTAATATACTGATTTTTTTTAAATCAGTTCTGATTTTCCAGAACTTTCTCAAGTTCCATGCTGTGGAATCTAGAATAGATCAAAATGTTCTACAAAGGTACTGTGCTGTATAATGTCTTGAAGTAACACTTAGCACTGAGGTAGGTTCTAAGGGCGCTGATGGCCTTGGCAACAGTTCATAGGGAAATGTCACATATTCTTGGTACTACAAAACATTGAAGATAATGTTTATTTGCAAAGATTTGATTTAAACATTGAAGGAACTTTTAGATGGCTTCCAAGTTTAAGAATTTACGTTAGTAAGGGAGAACAGTCTAATTGAAGTGAACCCCCTATGTGACAGTCTCTGTACATTTACTTTTTTTTTTTTGAGTTGGAGTCTCACTCTGTCAACCAGACTGGAGTGCAGTGGCCACTCCTGGCCACCGCGGCCTCAACCTGCTGGGCTCCGGCAATCCTTCTGCTTCAACCTTCCAAGTAGCTGGAACTATAGGCGCGTGCTACCACGCCCGGCTAATTTTTGATTTGTTGTAGAGATGAGGTCTGGCCAAGTTGCCCAGGCGGGTCTCGAACCTTCGGGCTCAGGCAATCCACTCACCTCGGCCTCCCAAAGCGCTGGGATTACAGGCTGAGCCACCGAGCCCGATGTGTATATTTACTTTTGATAAGTCAGTTCAATGCTGTACTGTAGTTTTGTTTTTTCCTTTGAGAAGAGATTGAATAGTTCACTCATTTCATTCTGTATTCCAAATCCAGGACTGCTTGGCATACTCTACTATTTAAATGAGATGTAAAAGGAAGTTTTAATAACATTCAGCTTAAGCATGAAAATTTTTCTGGGATTTTGGAAGATAATTTTAGCAGAAATGCCCTTTATCTTCCCTGAAAATTTGAGACATTCCATTACATTCTGTTTCCTATCAGAAGTCATGAATACTATGTGAGTGCATGTAGCAAGAAATCACAAGGCGTGAATGTGATAAAATTGGTTAGGAAACTTTTTGCTCAAAATTGTCAAAATGCAGTATAAGTCCTTTTCTTTTTCTTTCTTGTTTTTTTTTTCCAGTTGGGATCTCACTCTGTTGCCAGGCTGGAGTGCAGTGGCACAATCACAGCTCACCGAAGGCTTGTTCTCCTGGGCTCATGTGATCCTGTGATCCTTCCGCCTCAGCCTCCCTAATAGCTGGGTCTACAGGCACATGCCACCACACCTGGCTAATTTTTAAATTTTTTGTAGATACAAGGACTTTCCATGTTGCCTAGCTGGTCATTAACTCCTAGTCTCAAGCAGTCCTCTCACCTCCGCCTCCCAAAGTGCTGGGATTACAGGCATGAAGCACCATGCCTGACCTGAAATATAAATCTTGAAAAAATAAAGCTAGCAGTTAATCTTTATTTAGGATTATTCATAACTCTGATTTTAATTTCTTCCAAACCAGAATACTTGACTCTGGGAAGCATTGATTACCTGTGAACTTTGAAACTGACGGCTTAGCCAGCTGAGAAAGGGTATCTGAGATTATCTCTTATCTCCCAAGTTACAGTGAGTCTCTGAGGAAACTGACACATTAAGTTCTTGGTATAGTTAATAAGAAAGTCAAGAGAACTTAGTAGTTTAACTTAATAGTTGATTGAATAAAAATATTACTCTAAAAGATTAAAACAGTATAGGAGATTTCAGTGTTCCTGCTAAATTTTTTTTTTTTTTTTTGAGTTGGAGTCTCACTCAGTTGCCCAGACGAGTGCAGTGGCCGTTCCTGGCCACCGCAGCCTCGACCTGCTGGGCTCCGGCGATCCTTCCTTCTCAGCCTTCCAAGTAGCTGGAACTACAGGCATGTGCTACCACGCCCGGCTAATTTTTTTGATTTTTATTGTAGAGATGAGGTCTCACCAAGTTGCCCAGGCGAGTCTCGAACCCACGGGCTTAGGCAGTTCACTCACCTCGGCCTCCCAAGGCGCCAGATTACAGGCTGAGCCACCAAGCCCGGCCCCTGCTAACTTTTGATTGGTGAACAGTATGGGTCAGAGAGAATTAGAAAGAGCATAGATTCTGCACATGGTGGAATTCTCAAAAGTTTTCCTACATTTAAAAAAATGGAAGTAAATTTCTTAACAATTTAAAATCAAGTACTGTTTAGAATTTGCAAAGACTTACACTGGGAGGTAGATAAGGAAGGCGGTCATTGTTTCTTTCATTTTATAGAAAATAAAGATGTTGTAGAGGTTCTAACTTGCCTAGGGATACTTAGCTAATAAGGAATGGATTTGAATTTAAGTATTCTGATACCAAGTTAAGTGGAATTTCCACTGTACTCTTAAATAACTTTGTAAAAGTGAAAAATTAACTGTCTTTCAATCTAAGAAAATACCAAATAATGGAGACTAATTTAGATTTGTCAATATATCAACATTTGAACTTAGCTTATTATCTAATGGTAACTTAATGATGGAGATATGATATAGAATTAGACAGCCAGGCACATAGATGGAGTGTATTTATGTTTGAGACTATGCACATGATAATCACCTTTACTTCCATTCTGAAAGATTTTACCTTATCTTTTATGTAGTCCACCAAAGAGATAATGAAATACCTCATTACACGGCAAGATTATTAAAAAGTCAACACAAGCCCCTAAACACAATAGTTGACTAGAAATATATGCTTTTATAGTTTAGAGATTAGCCTTTTTCTCAGAATATATTCCCTGAAATTCTTTTCCAAGATAAAATTTAGTGGAAGAAGAAAAATGTTGTCTAGAAAAATATAGGTAGTTATAGACACAGAGATCAAAATGATCAGTTTTATATATATATGTGTATATATATATATATATATAGAGAGAGAGAGAGAGAGAGAGAGAGAGAGAGACAGACAGAGACTGACTACAGGATATGTTATGCTAATAAAAATAAATATAGCAAGAAGTATTTTTCCCCAGGATCTAATTGTTTGACATTTACTTGGTTTTCTTATTGTGATGCTTGTAATTCAGTTCAAATATTAATGCCCTTCTTTGATGAAGCAGTTTCCTACTCATTAAGGAAGAATAGATTAATAATTGAATTGATTTGCTCCATTTTAGTACTCTGAGCTATAGGGTATTTGTTTGCCAAAGTGTATTAGTTTCTTGTTTTCTTTTATTTTTCCATGTTAATTATATAATTCATTTTACTTGCAGAATATTATATGTAGATTATAGAAAGAAAATTTATATTTTAGACTAGTATTGAAGATTAGTATAAGAAGAGCCTTATGTAATTTGTAAGCTGTTATTTTTCTGATTTTTATACATGTATATCAGTAGTTATCAGTGAAGGGTTGTTGGGTGACTTTGCCCCTTGGGGGACATTGGGCAACCAGGAGGCATTTTTGGTTGTCATAACTTGGGGAGGATAGACTGCTACTGGCATCTATAGGGTAGAAACCAAGGATGCTGTTA